CAGCGAAGCTTTGACTTATCCCAGATAATCTCTGCCCATCGAGGGCCTCGAGGAGCATTAAAGCTGAATCTCTCCTTCTGCTAAAGCCGCTACGGCAGTGCTAGGTGATGCAGACAGTCCTCGAAGGTGCTGTGCGGGAGAGGGATGATGCAGAGATGCGTAACGGGCCTGGGAGCTGGGGTTGTACCAGGATTCCCACCTGCCTTTCAGCAAGTTACTTTGGGTCCAGTTTTCCTTAGAGGGGAGCCAGGGACTCACAGGGGAAACGCTGAGACTGCATTAGCTCATAACTAATGTCCACAGCGCTGTTCGATTGTGTACATTACAAACCTATTGAGGAGCTGCAGCTTAATCGGGTTAATGGTGACATTAACCTAGTGACACTCATCTCTCAACCTCCCCCAAACCCCTCTGTGAATCAGCAAAGATGGATGTTAACACTGCTCAACCCAAGAAAGGCTTTGGTGACTTACAGCCTCAGGACACAGCAAAGCCCTCGCTCTGTAATCGGGTGAAAGAAATGCAGAACAGCAAAACCTCCCACCCACAACCCCCCTGTTGTCAGGTCGGAGGGGATTTCGCTACACGACAAACACCCGAGGACAAAGCCGTGCCGTTTCCCACCCAGGTTGGGTCCCCTCCTTGTCACCAACCAACCGTCCCCGCTCCTCCCCGGCCGTGGGGCAGCTGGCGGCTCTGCCAGGCGGGTGCTTTCCTTCGGTGGCTGCGCTGCTGCATGGGGCTGGCTGCGACGCTGCGGTGGTACCGCCGCGGAGAGGACACGCTGCTCTGCGGGCACACCTTGCGGGGGTGGGCTGGCGTTTTCGGGACGTGCCGCTAACTGTGGTTTTATTGCAGCCGCGGTGGGTAGGGAGAGGGACTGAGTGACCTACTGCTCTTCTCTGCTTTTGGATCGCTGGGAGGGTGGAGGTTTTAGGGGTTGGTCCTCCTTGGGGATGGACTTGGTGAAAAAGAAAACCCTGGCTTGATTCTGGGACACCTTTTAAAGTGCTTTCCCAGAGCTATTCTTGTTTGTGGACGATATTTAAAAGAGCCAGTTTCATTTGCCTAACAGGGGGATTTGTAATCCCTTGATCTACAGTAAGAGTAAGTAAATATAATTTAATGCAAGCATCACAGGGTAAATCTCCGCTCATTTACCTTAGGTAGTTTAAGCAGCAGCATTTCAGCTGCCTTTTCTGCTGGCAGGTTTTCAGATCCAACGCACTCCCCTTTGTGCTCAGGACCCCCAACCACACCGTGGGGTGCGTAAAGGGCACATTGACCCCTTTGCTCTGGAAATACAGCACAGGTGAGATGTGGGCGGGGGCTATTTAGAAAACAAATTGCTCAAACTTTCCCCCTGGACAGCTTGGGATGTGCCAACCCCTTTGGTGTAATTTAAATGTAAATTGTGAGGGGCGGTGATGGCAAACTACCATCCATCACTCACCCGTGAGCCAAAATCCACGTTAATGCTAAAGCTGCTCCATCACCAGACTGCAGCATTAGTACAGAGACGAACCGGGAAGAAAACAGCTGAGAAGCTGCAGGCTGAATTGGCAGCTCAAAAATGCTGGAGGTGTAGTCCAGGGGCTGCTGAATTAATGTAATTGTGGCTTGCCCGGCCCACGACAAACGGGATTATTATGTTTTCTTAAGAGATAAATCCCGTTCCTTATTTCAGGGAGCCCTGAGTTCTGTGCAGGGGTGTGATGGGGCGAGGACAGCCTGTCCTCTGCATCCCCAAACACCCCACGCTTTCCTCCTCCCCTGCCCTCCGTGCCGTTTACGCCCAGGGCGGTGGGGGGCTCTGGCGGCAGAGCAAAGGCAGAAGAGAAGCAGGTCGTTCAGCCCCGCGAAGGGGATGAAACGGTGGGCGCAGGCGGTGGG